AAGCTACACAGAGAAATCCTGTCTCAAAAAACAAAAAAAAAAAGAAAGAAAAAAAAAGAAATATCCATTCCAATATAATATCTTCCCTCTGCATTAAAATTCCTGTAGGAGAATGCCTAGAGGGTAAAATAAACAAAATGCAATCAGGCTTTGGATTCAAACGATCCACATGTGCATTCTGTATTTTCTTTTCCACCAAAGCCAATTCTATCTCAGCTTCAGCTGATAATTCTCTTGGACTATTTAAGTCCTTGTCACCCTCTAAGGTTTTGAATAAATTACTCATTTCATCATTTTTTACCCCAACAGTGGTTCGTAGATTAGAAATGTATCCTAATAATCTTTGAAAGTCATTAAGAGTCCATAATTGATCTCTCCTAATTTGTAGCTTTTAAGGTCTAATTTTTTGTAGAACTATTTTATATCCTAAATAATTAATAGACTATTATTTCCTCTTTATATCTTTTCAGGAGCAATTTGTAATCCCCAACAAGGCAAAATTTTCTTTACTTCTTCAAACATTCTTTCTAAAGTATCTGCATTTGAGTCAGCTAGTAAAATGTCATCCATGTAATGGTAAACTGTAGATTAAGGACATTGTTTACATATTACTTCCAATGGCTGTTGTACAAAATATTGGCACAGGGTTGGACTATTTAACATTCCCTGTGGGAGAACCTTCCATTGATATCTCTTAACAGGCTAAGAATTAGTCCAAGTAGGCACCATGAAGGCAAATTTTTCTCTGTCTTCTTCTTGTAAGGGTATTGAGAAGAAACAGTCTTTTAAATCAATAACTATAAGAGGCCATCCTTTAGGGAACAGAGTAGGCAAAGGAATTCCAGACTGTAGAGAGTCCATTGGCTGAATTACCTTTAATAGCTCTTAGGTCTGTTACCATTCTCCATTTACCAGATTTCTTTTTAATAACAAATACAGGAGAATTCCAAGAGCTGGTTGATTCTTCAATATGCTGAGCACTTAACTGCTCTTGTACCAGCTGTTCTAAGACCTGAAGTTTCTCTGTTGTCAAAGGCCATTGCTGAACCCATACAGGCTTGTCTGTTAACCATTTTAAAGGTAGGGCTGTTGGTGTCTTTGAAAGATCAGTAGCTGTTGTGCCCTGTTCTTGTACAATCTGGATGGTTGGTGACTGTTCTTTATAATATCTTCTAACATTTTTCTCAGAAGCATATACTAGTTTGTTTCTGAGATTAGAGGAATGTTAATCTGGGTATTCCATTGTAACAAATTATGGCCCCATAGATTCATAGCTATATTAGCCACATATGGCTTTAATTTTCCTCTCTGTCCTTCTGGCCATATACATTCAACCCATCTCATGCTCTGTTTCACTTCAGATAATGTTCCAATCCCTAAAAGCTGAACATTTACCTCCTGAAGAGTCCATTTGGATGCCAAGATTCTGGTACAATTATTATTGCACCTGTGTCTACAAGACCTTCAATGAGAACATCATTTATTCCTATTTTTAATTTTGGTCTTTGTTCATTTATAGAAGTTTGACAAAAAATTCACTTTATGGTTTCTCCTGAATTTTTTGTTCTCTCTTCTATAGCTGTTCTATCACTCAGAGTAGTGTGGTTTTTTACAATAGGCATTAAATTCTTTAATTGCTCTGGGAAGGAGTTTCTTCCAGGGTGACAGGAAAGGACTGAACCATATTTGTCTTGGGAGCCTGTGGGAGGCCCCTCAGGTAGTACCCTGACAGCAAAGGCAAAGGATTACCTTGTCTGTCTCTTGTTGCTCTACATTTGTTAGTCCAATGTTTACCTTTGCCATACCTTCTGCATAATCCAGAAGGGAGGGACATTCTGTTGGAATTATTCCTTGAAAAAATTTTGTTTCTAGGACTGCCCTGTTTATAATCCCTTTTTAGGTGAACTTGTTTACTGCAATTGAAACACCTGATATTACTATTTTTCTTCAAATCTCTGGAAATCACCTCTCCTATCCAAGCATCATCATGGTCATGAGATTCAAAATTAATTGTATCTCAGATCCATTCCTCCAGTGGTGCTGATCTTGCCTTTAATGGCCTAATTACCCTTTTGCATTGTGTATTAGCATTTTCAAAAGGCAGAGATTCAATTATTATCTGTCTAGCTTCTGAATTGAATATCATTCTATTTACTGCTGAAATCAATCTTTGTAAGAAATCAGTGAAGGTTTATTTTGTGCCCTGTATAACTTTAGTAAATGACTCAATTTTCTTTCCTACTTCTTCAGTTCTGTCCCAAGCATTCAAAGCTGCCATGCAGCATAAAGTTAGGGTGTAGTCATCATATAAAGATTGTCTTTGTATAATAGCATAATCACCTTCTCCAAAAAAGTTGATCTAGGGAAATTTCAAGACCTCTAGCCCTACTCCATTGTTCAATGGTCTTAGCCTCATCTTTCCAACCAAGTCTTCCATTGTAATTGTGGACCAGCCTCTAAGACGGCTGTAACCAAATCTCTCCAGTCTTGAGGGATAAAAATATTACAAGTTTAACATCTGCTTCATGAAAGATGAGTGGATGCCATATGAGACTATTGCTTCTTTGAATCTTTTCAAATCTAACATTTGCACAGGAGTCCAGTCAGCTCTTACACAGCCTTGAGGATATTTCTCACTCGGTAGTTCCTGTAAGGTTACTGGATAGATTAAGGTTGCTGTTTGAAAGCCTTAGGCTGTTTCTCTGTAACCTTATAATGCAATGTTGAGATTGCTTCTCCTTTAAATTCTTCTGTCTGGGTCTAAACATATCTATGATCTGTTTTAACAAGTTTTTCTAAAACTTTTATCTTGGCACTCATATTAACCAATTTTTTCATGATAAAAATGATCAAATAATATTTATAATTGACATTACATCTATTCCATCAACATTAATTACCCTCTCATTTAATTGTTCCATTTTCAGACCATTTAATATATAATCAAACAGACACCAAATGCCTTCCATTGTAAAAATGTTTCCCATTTTTTAATATGGTAAAAATTTTAACTAATTCCTCCCTTTAAGAAATCTTAATTGACTCACCAAATCTTCTGACAACGATTCAGAAAACAGTGTGGCAGCAGCCTGAGGACAAGGCCCAGAGAGGGTCAAAGGAAGGAAACTAAAGAGCCTGCTGTTTGTACAGGGAGCGTGTGAAAGCCGCTAATTCCAGCGTGTTCCAGCCTGAGCCTGGGGAGTTTGCTGCAGAGAGATGCAACAAAAGCCTGGCCAGCAGGGGAGGGACTCTTGCCCAGGTCGGGTGGAGATTCCAGACACCTGTAGCTCCGGCCTGAGCCACAGGCAAGTAGCTCTTTTCGTGAATTCGTGCCCCAAAAGTTGGACGCCAGATGTAACACGAACTGCTAAAAGGTCTTATTAATAAAAAAAACCCAGTACCAGATGTTGGGGAGAAAGCTGAAAGATCAGAGAAGCAGACCTAACCACAGCCGACCTCACCTTGCCAACTCCTCAGCCAATCCTGTTTCCACAAATTCTCAGACTGAAAACCTGAGTCCTCACCCAAAAGGCCTCAGCCAAAAAGAGCCTTTAATTCCTGTTTCCTCAGTCTTATATACCTTTCCCCACCCAGATATCACTTCCTAGAATTAAAGGCATGTGTGCTTCCCAGTACTGGGATTAAAGGTGTGTGCCACCACTGCCTGGCTCTGTTTCTCTCCTAGACTGAGTCATCTCATGTAGTCCAGGGTGGCCTTGAACTCACAGAAATCCAGATGGCTCTCTGCCTCCTGATTGCTAGGATTAAAGGTGTGTGCCACCACTGCCTGACCTCTATTTCTAATCTAGTGGCTGGCTATGCCCTCTAATCCTCAGGCAAGCTTTATTACGGTACATAATATATCACCACATTCCTCAGATTCAATGGCTCCCTAACAAAGTGTGTGGCACCAAGCAGGCCCCAAATACCCAAATACTGAGACCTCATCTGGTGTCTGTCTCAGATTCCCAGACCACGAGATCAGAGACAACCTCTCTCAACCTCTCTGAGTGACAGGCCAGGTGAGGACAGTGCTTAATGTGGATCTTTGTCCTTCCAGAGGGAGACCACAGCCCTGCTCCCCAGCTTCTCTCCTTTCATTCAGGAACTCAAAATTCAAGCCAGGAATGGTGGCATATGCCTGTAATTCCAGTACTTGGGAGGTGGAGACAGGAAGATCAGGAGTTCAAAGTCATCCTCAGCTATATAATGAGATTGAGGCAGCCTGGGCTACATCACACACACACACACACACACACACACACACACACACACCCCTAAACTCAATTCTGGGAACAAGTATAGAGCTTCAGTTATCCAAGATGATAAAGTTCTAGATCATGCAAAGTACCTTAGGACTGGGGATCTGCTAGACAGGCTGTCCGCATAGGGACTGTGCTCCCACAGGTAACAACCGGGCAACTGACTACACATCTAGAATTTTGTTGGGAGGTCCCATGTGAAGGGTTCTTACCACAATCTGGGTGTGTGTTTATGTGTGTGCAGCTACACTGTGTGCAAATGCATGCGGAGGCCGAAGTCCACCCAGGGTGTAATTCCTCAGGTACCACTCACCTTGCTTTTTGAGACAGGTCCTCTTGCTGTCCTGGGGCTCAACAGTAGGGTAGGCTAGTTGCCAGTAAGCCTCCAGGCAAGTGACTATCTCACCTCCCCAGATTTTAAGTGTGTGCCACCATGCCTGGCTTTTTTTCAAAAATGTGAGTTCTGGGTTTGAACTTGTGATTATATAACCAGCACTTTACCAACTGAACTAGCTCCTCAGCCACCACTTTTTTTTTTTCAAAACAACTCTGGGGTTTAGCCTCAAGCCATTCACCCACCCCACACACTGTTAACCTTTTATATGGCCAAACACCATAAGAGCATTGTACTTGTCCAAATAACTGCAAGGCTGCCCCACAGAAACTTGCCCTGGCACTCCCACCCCAGGATCTGTGGGAGTGCCACAGCACTGTGGCAGCAGTCCCCCAGGACAGATGTAAGTTGAAGGGATGTTCCCGGCTTTTATTTCTGGTCAGCCCTGGACACAGTTATGCATGAAGTCAACACACAGACTTGTATAGTAAGTGGGATAGTCACGGAGGTGGCTGACATGTGCAGACGACACAAAGTCCACCGAGCGCACCAGGACCTGGTGAGCCAGGCGTGACTCTACCATGCGCTCCACATCCCTGGCTGAGACCATCCGATCAGCTCTGGAGTAGAGGTAGAGCTCAGGCCAGTGGGAGCCCGAGTCCTGCAGCCTGTCATAGAAGTGGGTGTGGAAGAGGGCAGTGAACGGAGCCAGCAGGAAGTGGAACAGTACTACCACCAGGGCAAAGGCCACCACGAGCAACAGGCGCAGCACAGCGGGCCGGTGCTCCAGGATGGTTGCCAGGGCCCTCAGGGACCCTACCAGGTTGCTATCACCGGGACCACTGTCAAAGATGGTGCCCACGACGTGCAGGTGGCCGAAGCGCTGATGGGTCTGTAGGAGCTCTAGCACGTAACGATAGAGCATGACCCCAGCGTTGCTGAAGACATGGAAGAGCAGAGGTTCCCGCTCAATCTCGTAGTCAAAGAGGAGCTCGAGCAGCTTCTGGGCCATCACACGAAGTGAGGGGATGCCCAAGGACTCAGAGAAGAAGACCATGTGCCAGGGGGCCGTGTATCGGATCACAATGCAGCCCTGGAGAGAGGAGAGGGCCCAGGTCAGTCCCAGGGACACGGTGGGGTGGTGGGTGCAGGTTAGCCCAAGGAGCCCAGGAGCTCTGATTTCCACAGCTGTGTCGCAGCGAGCTCACCAGCTGCAGCACAGGAACACTCAAAGCCTGTTGCTTTGTTATTGGGGCTGGGGTTGTTTGTTTTCATTTTTGTGTTGTTTTGTTTTGTTTTTCGAGACAGGGTTTCTCTGTGTAGCCCTGGCTATACTGGAACTCGCTCTGTAGATCAGGCTGGCCTCGAACTTACAGAGGATCTCCCTGCCTCTGCCTCCCAAATGCTGGGATTAAAGGCGTGCTCAAGGCCTGTTTTTGAACACGCTGCTGCATGCTGTTCATGCCTCCTCAGCCTGGGATGGTATTTGAAGCCTGGAGCTGACAGCATGTTTTGGAGACATCTGATCCAACCAGAAGAAAATCTCTTCCCTCTGGTTCCCTCAGGCCTCCTGACCAGCCCTTCCCCAGACCCTGCAAAGCTTTGGGACTTGGATTCACTGGGTTGCAGCTACTTTGCAACCCCCTGAGACAGAGAGGACGGCATGCAGGCCCCAGTCTTAACCACCAGAGGGCGCTTCTGAGCCAGAGCCAGCTCTGCACGGCAGTCCTGTCCCCTTCCCTGCTACAGCGCCCTGAAAACAAGAGTCCGCACTGTCTGGTTTGGGGGTCTGACCTTTAGTTATATCTGGTTCCTGGACTTAGGATCATTCCTCACACTCACCTTCAAATTCCAAACCAGAAAGAGAGGGAAGCGGGGAGAGAGAGGGACAGGGAGAGGGAGGGAGGGAGAGGGAGGGAGGGAAGTAGAAACAAAACAATGAAAGAAATTCCAAATCCAGAAGACATTGTTGCTTTTAAATCCAAATATCTAGACCCAAGCTCACTTTCAGCTCCCATACCCTTCCTGCGTGTGTCAAGTGTACCTTTAATCCTCTGGACAGGTCCCCTTGAAGGCCAGTTGGAGAAGGCACCAGACGCTACCCTGTCTGGGCCTTAACCCCTCTTATTAATTTGTTCTAGAGACAAGGAGCCTCTCTGTCAGGGACATCTGAGCGGGCAGGCTCTGGGGTCAGACAGGCCTGTGCTTAATTCTTGGCCCCGCCATTTACTAACTGTCTGGGCAAAGAGTAATTTACTTCCTCTTTCTCTGTCTGTGTTCCCATCTATAATTGGGATGACACCCACCTCAAAAGGTTATCGTAGAAGTTAAATTTAAAAAAAAATGCATCTCAAGAGACAAAGATGGTACCTGGCACAAAGTGAATCCAGGTACAACAGCCAAATAGGAAAGGCCAGCCATGGTCGCCAGCCAAGGTCACCAGCCATAGACGCCTGAGCTTCCAGCCAGTGAGGCACTAAAAACTCTGAAGGGGGTTGCTGAAGGCCACCCACACTCCCAAATGGTTATGCCTGATAGAGGCTTTTGAGCCCCCATTGGTCCCCCCTCCCCCGCAGCAGATGGGACTACACACTCTGACTATATATATATTCCCTTACAGCCCAGTCTTCAGTAGGCCAAAGTAAGGGCCTTTTTAAATCACAAGGAAGAATATAGAGTTAAGGAACAGAAGAATTAACTGCAGTTGTGTGACCCTGTATTGGACTCCAGGGTTGGACAAATCAGCTGTAGAAGATGCTTTGGGAACATGCTACTTGGGTCTCTAGACACAGACTGGAAAAGGCATGCAATGAAAACTTACTAACAGGACAGATGGAGTCTAAAAAAGCAGGCTGCACATAGTAACTAACTAGAACCTACGTATACAAAAGGTATACAGAGAAAACCTAGAAGGACGCAACCCTTACAGGGTAAGCCGGGGCAGTCTCTAGATGGCAGAATAAAGTGGCGTTATTTTCTTTCAAATAAAAAAAAATTGGAGTTTTAGACTGGAAAACTCTTCTTCACAGCCATCTTCTCTTCACCAGGGGTAAAGGCAGGCCTTCCTCTCTGAGGCTGTCCCTACCACCTCAGCTCCTGTCTTCCCTGGGACCTTCCACCCCCCACTTTCTTCCTCACGCCTTCTGCCCACATAACGGCCTCACTCTGCAAAAGGCAGCCTCCCGAACGTCTATGGACGGGCATGCCCTCCGGGGTTTTCTTGGCCATCCCCTCCCCTTTCCCTGTGGAAGTCTCTTCATTAAGTCTGGGTTCCTCATTGCTTCCCTAAACGAGTGCTGCTGTCTCCTCACACCCCTAGTGTCTCATCACCCTAGAACCTATGAATTCTCTTTAATGTTCCTGTCTCAAAAACACAACTCTACCCAGAAAATGCCCCAGCCTGGACCCTGGCATGACCCTACGCCTCCTTATCTTACTCCCGATCTACGGGTAATCTTCCATTCTTCTTCCCAGAGCTCCGCAATCCATCACCGGGCCCCGGGCTCCTCGGCACCCGAGTCATTGAGACCCCTCTAAACTACTTCTGGTTTCTAGTGCCAGCGTTTCCAATCCTCCCGCCCCACACTCTGCAGCGAATGGCTTTTTTTTGCTTGCTTTCCCTCTCTTTTTTAATGTGTGGTTTTTTGAGGCAAGGTTTCTCTGTGTAACCCTGGCTGTCCTGGAATGGCTCTGTAGACCAGGTTGGACTTAGAGATTCGCCTGCCTCTGCCTCCTGAGTGCTGGGCTTAAAGGTGTGTGCCATTGCCGCCCGGCTTCAATGGGCTTTCTTAATGGCAAACCTAGCTTTACAGTGCCATCAATTCTCTGAGGACAAGGCTCTGGTGTCGCCTCTAAACACATACACTTTGTCTCCTTATTTGTACCCTCTGTTGAAGGCTGCTTTGAGGAGATCTGACTAAGCATGTAAAAGGGGGTTTTCCACACTGTACTCAGGCCCTCCTGGGACTTTGTCAGTTACCACAACCTCCACAGCCAAATTTTAGAGCGGTCTAAGAAGTGTGACTCTTCTCCGAGAAACCCTGTGATCCCGGGAATGGCAAGGGGAAGGTGCTGTCAGTCCTGAGCTCACTTGGTCAGAAAGGGAGGAGGTCCTAGAAAACTATGCCCGGTGTACCCTGTCCTGGCTCCTGCCATCCAAAGAGGCACAGTCCAGGGTGTGGGGCGTGGGCTTACTTCACAACCAGGGAACACATCAAGGCCTCGGGGGAAGAAGAAGCAGGTCAGGGGACTGAAGCAGCCGCAGGAGGACATGGTATAAGCCTGCCAAAGTCCCAGGAGTCCACTGCCTTCCCCACAGGCCTTTGGCACGGCTCTAGGGCTACCACACAGGTGCTCAACCTTTGCTCCAGCCCAAAGGTGAAGCAGCCAGGCTTCCAGCTCCCCACAAAGCAGCCAAGAGTAGCGGAGGCCCACAGCCGGGGCAAGCACTTACGCACAGTACTTACCCTTTTGTGGTAGATGGCACTGTACTTGGCCAGGTTCTTGTCTCTGCAGCCACCCCAGCCCAAGAGAATCACCACAGGCAGTCGCTTCCTGGCCTCCTTCCCATCTTGGCTGGGGTTCTCTGAAAAACAGATGGGGACTGTCAACACCCGAGGCAGGATTGGGGTTCTGACCAATTTAGAGCTGTGGGCAGAAACCAAGGTGGCTCCATTTCATGTGGCTCCTGCCCCCATCCCTCTGGTCAACTGCCTTTTCGTGGATCTCTGTGGAGGCACCATGGCATCACTGGAAGAATCCACATGAGGACACCACATTTTAGTAACTCAAATCCCAAGAAAATAAAGTGAATGCCCTTTCCAGACAATAGCACCTTCCAGCCCAGGGAACCATGACCTATGGGCTAAATCAGACCCTTTTTCTTTCATTTTAAAAAATTACATTTATTTCTTTGTGTGGAAAGGGCCACAGCTGCCAAGATGAGAGTGTTTGGAGGTCAGAGAATAACTTTGGAGTTGGTTCCCCTTCCACCACGTGGGTCCTGGGCATCAAACTCAAGTCATGAGACTTGGCAGCGAATGCCTTAACCCACAGAGTCAGCTCACCAACCCACTGTTTTTCTACAGTCTATGAGCTAAAGTGGGGCATGTATGTGTGGTGTGGGCCCTTGTCCATGTGTTGTGTACATGCACTGTGGATGTCAGAGGTCAACACTGGGTGTCCTTCCCAACCATTCTCCACCTTGTGTGTGGAGACAGTCTTCCTATGAACCTGGAGCTCCCTGACTCATCCAGGCTGGCCAGCCAATGAGCTCCAGGCTCCACCTGTCTTAGCCTCCCTCAACCCTGGGGTCACAGATGTGTGCTGCCCTGGTTTTTTTGTTTTTTTTGTTTTTTTTTTGATAGTGCTGCTGGGAATATGAACTCAGTGCTCAGCCTTGAACAGGAGGCACTTTACCCATGAGCCACCCTCCCAGCTCCAGCAATGGTTTGGATTTGTTTGATGTGTTTGTTTTACATTGCTAGGGATCAAACTTTGGGCTCCACGGTTCTCTACCACTGAGCTACCTGAAGCCCCAGGCTTTTACTTCTTCTTCTTCTTCTTTTTTTCTTTGCTGGCCTAGAACTCACTATGTAGATCAGGCTGGCCTTGAACTCACAAAAATCCACATGCTTCTGCTTCCTGATATTAAAGGCATGCACCACCATGCCAGGCCCCCACACTTTTACATTTTTAAATGGTTAGAAAAAAATTAATATGGTGACACACACACCTATAATCTAGCACTCAGGAAGCTGAGGCAGGAGGACTGAATAGGAGAGCAGCCTGGGCTACATATGAAACCACAGTCTTTAAAAAATCACAATAAAATTATATGAACTTAAATTTCTGTGTCTAGCCAGGCGGTGGTGGCGAATGCCTTTAATCCCAGCACTGGGGAGACAGAGGCAGGCAGATCTCTGAGTTTGAGGCCAGCCTGGGCTACAGAGTTCCAGGAAAGGCTCCAAAGCTACACAGAGAAATCCTTTCTCAACAAAAACCAAAATAAATAAATAGATAAATAAATAAATAATTTTCTGTGTATATAGCTGGGCATGGTGGCACATGCCTTTAATCCCAACACTCAAGAGACAGAAGCACATGGATCTTTGGGAGTTGAGGCTAGCCTGGTCTACATATTGAATTCCAGGACAGCCAAAGCTATATAGAGAGATCCTAGCTAAAAACAAATAAATAGCAGGCAGTGGTGGTGCATGCCTTTTAATTCCAGCACTGGGGAGGCAGAGCAGGTGGATCTCTGTGAGTTCAAGGCCAGCCTTGTCTACAAAGCAAGGTCCAGGACAGCCAGGGCTACACAGAGAAACCCTGTCTCGGAAAAACAAGACAAACAAACAAACAAACAAACAAATCTAAATTTACACAAAGTCTCATTTGATGTCAGAACTGTAGATCAGTGGCAAACAGCTGACCCAGCACGGATACAGCTGTGGGTTCAATCTCTATCACATGATCGTGCAGGCCCCCCACCACCCCGCACAGAGTTTTATTAGGGTCTGGAAATGTAGCTCATTTAACAGACACTGACCTAACACGTGTAAGGCTGTGAGTTCAATCCCCAGCACCAAAAACCCAGCATGGCAGTACATGCCTGATATCTCAGCACTTGGGAAGGGAATCAGAAAAGATCAGGAGTTCAAGGTCACCTTTGCCTACATAGTGAGTTTGAGACTAGCCTTTGCAACATGAGACTCTGCCTAAAATATAGATAGATGGATGGATGGATGGATGGATGGATGGATGGATGGATGGATGGATGGACGGACAGACAGATGAGTTACATTGGAACATAGCCATTCTTACCCAATTTATCTATTGTCTATGACTACCTTCAGATGAAAAAAGTACAGACGAGTGGTTACAAAGGAGATCGTTGGCTCACAAAGCCTTAACTATTGCTGTCTCTTTACAGAAAAAGTTTGGCAGCCTCTGTTCTAATCTATGAATAGATGGAGGGAAAAGATCTTAAGAGTGCTTGCCTAGTATGCTCAAGGACCTAGGTTTCACCTATGGAACCACATTAGGCATGGTTGTACACCTCTATAATCCTAGCTCTCAGAGGATGGAAGATCAGAAGTTCAAGCTCGTCCTCAGCTACAAAGTAAAGTCAAGGCTCAAGACCAGCCTGGGGTACATGAGATACCCATCTCAAAAAAAAAAATAAAAATAAAATAACAAAACAAAAGACCTGGGTAAAACAGCTTTAGCAGTGACAGGAGGCTGACTGGCCACACCTCCCCTGCTCCCCCAAGAGTCTACTGTGGCCTGTACTCACAGAAGTTTAGCTCCGTAACACCATGATGCAGGGACACTGTGTAGTCCCGGCTCCCCACCCTGAGCACCCCCGGGGTTAGCCCCATGCACAGCTGGAAGCTTGCTTCCTTCAGTGATAGGAGCACAAGCTGCCTTCACCATGCCTGTCTGAAGAGGCCTCCCTAAAACCATGTCCCACCTACCTCATTTCCCCCCCCCCCCCCCCCCCCCGCAAGGTGAGTGTCGCTCCTTTGTGGGGCATCTGCACAAGGACTGTCTGTAGCTAGACAGCCGGCCTCTAAAGAAGGGCTGGTGCGTACCCGTCCAAGGACCAAGCCACTTGGCTATGCTCAGCCGACACCTGAAATTTATGGATGCTGGTGGTGACCTGCCAACAGTAAATTTCAAGGCTAGTTAAGAAGATGGTAAATATAAATCACTAACCTTTGGACAAAAGGAAGACAACAATTTCCTGTGGAAATTAATGTGATTGAAAAGTTCAATGTTCCTGCTCTCCAGTAGCGGCGACTCTGGCCTTCAGAGATTAACTGCCCGCACCCGCAGGGCTCTAGGCCAGATGGAACAGAAGCTGCCAGACCCCCAGTCCCTCGCTGACACCCACTACCCCTTCCAGGCTCCACTAACTCAGGTAGCTCCAAACAGTCACAGCCTTTCTTATCCCTGTGCCCGCTCTATCTTCTGCCAGGGTGGCACCTCAGGACCTGCACTATGTGGGTGGAGACCAGCCCAGTCTTGCCCACCACGAAGCTCTGGCTTAACCCAGGTTAACCAGCTGCCTATTCCCACTGGATGACTCTCTAAGGTGAGCCACTGGATTTGATATCCTCCAGTGGCCACTTGACAAGACCAGCCCCTCACAAACACAGAACGGGCATTTCTAAACAAGAGATTTGAGCAGGTTCTGCAGGGCTTCCAAACTGTCCTTCCAACACTGAGATCTAGAGCTCTGCTCAGCTCTGGGGTGAGATCTGCTAGGTCCCTTAAGAAATGATTCTCAAGATGTTCATCTCTATGAAGACACCAGTGCCCGGACATCCTGCCCACTCCCAGAGCCAAAGCACTCCTTCCTAGAATTCGTCTCTACTCTCCAGCGTCTGTACCCCACATGCTCTTCACCAGGTCGGGGAGTGCCCACTGCCCCTCTGTAGTTCACATTTGCTTTTACTTCTTTGTGGTGCTGGTACCCAGGGCCATGCGCATGGTCGGCAAGCATTTTAGCAGTAGGCTCTACCCATAGCTGTCCCTTTGGATTCTATACATGAAAATTCTATAAAAGTACCTTTCAAATATGGCTTGGAAAGTGATAGTGGCCAAGAAAAGTCTGTCAGAGGAAGTCATGTTCCCTACCGTGGCCTCAAAGGCCCAGTGGGGCATGCAGGGTAGACAGAGGGCACGGGCAGGGCAGGGCTGTGATAAGCTGTCCTGGTGCTGAGAGCCTGAGGACAGAGAGCAATGGGCAGAAGGGCAGCAGAGAGGGGACTGGGGCCTGAGTCCATGAACTAGGGGCTTGATTCCACAGCAATAAAGAGTGAGTGAAAATTCTGGAATGGCAAAGTGGCATGATCCAGTCTGTTCCTGATGACTGTAGACTCCCACCACTGTTGAACGTCTCGGTCACTCTCCCCTTAACCAGCAGGTTCCACAAAGCAGGAAGTGACATCTACCGCATTTATCCTCCCATGCCCAGTGGACAGCATCATGGCTGGCCCGCACAGGAGCTCACCCCACCGCGATCATCAGACTAGTCAGGAGCACCCGCCGACACCATGCTCTCCTCATGTGGCACCGCCAGTGTCTGCTGGAGAAGTGAGGCTGCCACGGCAGGCAAGGGTGGTGAAGGTCTCAACCAGGGGAGTGTGGAAAACCAGAACCGGAGAAGCCGGGCGGTGGTGGCGCATGCCTTTAGTCCCAGCACTCAGGAGGCAGAGACAAGTGGATCTCTGTGAGTTCAAGGCCAGCCTGGTCTACAGAGAGAGTTCCAGGACAACCAAGGCTGTTACACAGAAAAACCCTGTCTCAAAAAAAAAAAAAAAAAAGAAGGAAATGACAGGGCGAAAGTCACAGGCTTGGAGTGCTGTCACACGCTTCTAATTCTAGCATTCTGGAAGTTGAGAGTTCTAGGCCAGCCTGATCTACACAGCAAGAAAAATAAAGCAGATTCATAATAATTTTGAAACATGAAATTTCAGTAGGTCACAAACCTCAATATAAGAATTAAAACTAGGGGCTGGAGAGATGGCTTAGTGGTTAAGAGCACTGTCTGCTCTTCTAGAGGACCTGAGTTCAAGTCTCAGCACTCACACAGCAGCTCACAACCATCTGCAACTCCAGTTCCAGGGGATCCAGTGTCCCCTCTCCTGACCTCTGTGGGCACCAGGCACGCACATGGTGCATAGACAAACACGATGTAGGCAAAACACCAACACACATAAAATCGATTCTTTTGGAAAGGAGAACATCTTATGAACTCAACTGAGCAATAGTTTTGGACCGTGACACCAGCATCACAGGGAACAAACAAAACAGATAAGCTAAAATTTCAACATCTGTACTTTTATTTAATTTTATTTTATGAGTGTGAATGTTTTGCCTGCATGTACGCATGTGCACTGTGTGTGTGCCTGGTGCTGAAGCCAGAAGGCTCTGGATCCTCTGAAACTAGATCAAGGTGACTATGAGCCTCCAGGCGGGTAGAAGATCTGGAACTTGAGGCTTTTGCAAAAGCAACAAGTTCTCTTAACCTCTCCAGGACCAACTTTTATACTTTAAAGGGCACTTTCAGAAAGAGAGAGAGAGGGAGAGACTCACTCACCTCTGAACCTCTGATATGGTACTTGTATTCAGAACATACTTAAAACTCTTACAGTCTAAAACCAAAACAAATAACCCAGGTGTGTGTGTGTGTGTGTGTGTGTGTGTGTGTGTGTGTCCACACTAGAGGTGGGTGGGAGCAGAGAATGTATATGTATATGAGTGTAGTATGCACCCTTATATAGGCACCCATACACATATATGGAAGCCAGAGGAGGACAGGAAGTGTCACACTATGTGAAAGGTGGACATCCGTACAATGGAATACTACTCAGTCATAAAAAAGAATAAAGTACTACTCAGCCTGTAGTATAGATGAGCCTTAAAAACACCATGCTAAGGGAAAGGAGCAAAAGGTCACATATCAGAGGATTCCATTGATATAAAATACCAGAAAAGGCAAATCCATCGAGACATAAGGTAGATCTGCGGTTGTCAGCAGGTGGAAGGAAGGGCGGGGAGTGACCACCAATGAGTCCAGGATTTGTCAGTGTAAAAATTCTAGAATTGGATCCTACCAATGTTTTCACAACCTTGTGGATATACTAAAATGAATTATACATTTTAAAAAGATGAATTTTATGATATGTGAATTATATTTCAATGTCATTTTTTAAAATGGTAACTGAAAAAGTAAGCTGCAAAATACTATCACAAAAGAATATCATCTGAATGAACAGACAGCCATTCTCTACATGGCAAAAGCCCCGACTCTTAATGGCAAATTTCTCTGAAATTAAAGGCAATTTCTTTTTTGAGACAGGGTCTCACAGCTTTGAACTTGCTGCCTAGTTGAGGATGCCTTCAACTCTGATCCTCTTGCCTCTCTAAGTGAGGGGTTACAGATGTGCACCACCACAGCTGGCTTAGAGTTCTTTTTTTTTCATGTTTTTTAAACCATTTTCTAAAACATATATGAGGCTGGGATGCAACTCAGGGCTAGAACTTGTCTGTCTTGTGTAGGACCCTGAGATACTCCAAAAACAAAAAAAATTTCAAAGCAGAGAGCATCAATTTTGCAAGGAAAGTTACAATACCATTTCAAAACTACAACTGAGAAGATAGTCCCATCAAAGCAACCAAACCAGCGTGGTTAAGGATACCCAGAAGCCCCTGGGAATGAAGAAGCATTCTTTTCTACCCTGACACTACTTAAGCATGCTACAAAATAACTCAATCCCAGGCCGCCTGTCATCTGTCAAGGAATAACGGGATGCTGGGAACACGAGAATTACAAATATGTCTGCTGTTCAGCAAGCAGTTCAAGTCATAAACTAAAGCATAAATTAGGTTGTGTGTGTCCCCCGGGCGTGTAGAGAAGACAAAGAGGGCGACTCAACACAGGCTGTTTGTAATGGGAAGCGAGAATCACACACAAGGAAGCCATGTGTATTTAAAAGGCAAACAAGAAAATGACTCCCCATTTCCCCTACCCCCCAGAAGTCCTCTCTAGAGTCTCACTGCTCCTACATTTAATCCAAATTATTTTAAATTTAGCCTTTGAAATAACATAGTAGAATTGTATTCCATCTAAGAAGCCACATCGTCCAAAGCTGTACATCCGTCCACATCTTTAACTCTGTGACTATGAAACAGACCTAAGGTAAGCCCTTTAATTCCCAATTCCTCTATCTGTGGAATGGGCTAATACTTACTACAAAGAATTCAGCAAGATCATGACTACAGAAGGCTCAACAATGTATCCACCCAAAGAAAGAGTTCAGTAAGTGAAGTGATTATTACTTTGCTGCATGCCTACTGTAGAAAAAGTAGAAAATGAGTATCAAATAAAATCGGAATCATACTCTTTGTCATCTGCTTTCTTCTGCTCAGCAATATATCGTGACCATCTCTCCCTGTCAGTTTCTATATTTTTACACCATTATTTTCAGTGGCTGCAGAACAGCTGTAGAATGTTTTCATAATTTATGGTCACCAATCTCCCATTATTGAACATGATGTTGCTCCCAATTTGAGGCTATAATAAAAATACTTCAGTGGACGACTTTCTTTGTGTACAGCCCTCACTGTGGTGTCCTGTTCCTGCAGCCCTTCCTGACGCCAGCGGAAACCTTCACAGTCACAAGCTCTGGAGTAAGGCTCTCAGGCTGAAAAAAGTGTTACTTGGAGCAAGGTATTTCATGCCCTCCATACGCCCATCCGTCATCTGTGAAACACGATTAAGGGTACCCCTCCTGCCAGGGTGACAGTGAGGATTAAAAACACAATGAAAGCAGGTCCCAGAGGACTGGCATGGGGATGGGGCACAGCATGGTCAACAGCAGAGGATGACAGGTGCAAAGGGCACCCTGGGTCTAGCCCTCAAATGCAGGGGCCAAAACAGAAGCAGGCATGGAGCAGGCCCCCGGGAAGAGGTTTCCATTGCCTTGTTAATGGATGAAAGAGAAGGCATGAGAATTCAAAAATAAATAAAATCTGTGCTTCAACAACACACTAAAATTGGCACAATTACAGAGGAGATTAGCATGGCCCCTGCACAAAGATGACATGCAATATATGAAGCATTCAGTGGGGTTTTGTTGTTTAGTTTTGGTGTTTTTTGGTGTTTTTGAGACAGGGTTTCTCTGTGCAGCCCTGGCTGTCCTGGAACTCTCTGTAGCCCAGGCTGGCCTCGAACTCAGAGATCCACCTACCTCTGCCTCCTGAGTGCTGAGATCAAAGACGTGAGCCACCACCGCCCAGATGTGGTCAGCGGTTTTTAAATAAATGAATGGAACACTTCGGAAGAAGGTGGCAGTCTCTGGGGTCCTACAGATAAGAACAAATATTAATTGTCCTTTCCTCCATCCTTCCTTCCTTCCTTCCTTCCTTTTCCTTTTGAGACAGGGTCTTGCTCAGACTAACCTGGAAATTGCAATCCTCCAGCCTCAGTCCCCTCTGTGCTAGGATTATCACCATACACTTCACACCTGGCCACCTCTCGAGGTTCTCGGCTCTCCGTGAGCAAAGCTTGCCAAGCCTCCCCTGGACCCCTGCCTCCTGCAGCCCCTCTGCTCTCACTTCTCCTCCAGTGCCTTTATTTTGGCACCTTTGCTGATCACCACGACCTGTCAGGCTTCTGGAAGCTCCACTCGTCAACACCCGCCCCTCGTGATGGTGGGGACCCAGCACTGCTTCTGTGCCAGAAAAAGCTTCCTGAGTTTAAAGATATGGCTCCATTTCTTTGACCGTTGCCACTGGCAGGCAAAAGAGAAGGCTCACAATAAAGTCTGGAACCCTCAAGTCACCTTAGGTGGCTGCCTTGAGGCCTCTGGTAACTCAAAGAGTGAGAGCCCTGTCTTCAAAGTTTCTATGAAGTTTGAAGCGTGGTGTTGAAAGATCAAATCCAAGATACTACACGTTAGGCACGCCAGTCTGCCTAGCCTGCCCCACAACGACTGAGTGACTCCAGCCCACCATTACAGTTAGCAACGGCTGCTCACTTAACTGTCAAATCACTCCAGTGCTTGGCTCTGTGGCTTTGATGTGATTTCCTATTCGGGGAAAGGGTAAGGCAATTCCAAAAACTGAAGATGACTGACCATCCTGCACACTTCCTCACTAAACAGCAACCACAGAGGAAAGGCAATCTCTGTCCTGGGCCTTCCCATGAGAGCCATTCTGTGCAGCCCGGCCATCCTACAGAGGAACTCTATCCAAAAGGAATCCATAAGTTCAGAGACCACAGTGTACAGGTTGGGGTTGGGGTTGGGGTTAGGTTTGGGATTAGAGTTAGGGTTGGAGCTAGGAGTTAGGGTTAGGGTGAGGGTTGGTGTTAGGATCAGGGTTAGAATTAGTCTTAGGGTTGGACTTAGGTTTAGTGTCAGGATTAGGGTTGGAGATAGGGTTAGGGTTGGTGCTAGGGTTGTGTTTGGGGTTTGGGTTGTTGTTGCTAGCATTTAGATAGTGTTGAAGTTAGTTTTAGGGTTCGTTTTAGGTTTGGGTTAGTGTTGGATTAATTCTTAGGGATGGAATTTGTAGGGTTAGTATTGGGGTTTAGGCAGGTGTTGGGGTTGGGATTCTTTTTTTTTGGTTTTTCGAGACAGGGTTTCTCTGTGTAGCTTTGCGCCTTTCCTGGAACTCACTTGGTAGTCCAGGCTGGCCTCGAACTCACAGAGATCCGCCTGGCTCTGCCTCCCGAGTGCTGGGATTAAAGGCATGCGCCACCACCGCCCGGCGGGGTTGGAATTCTTAAGCAGTCCATGTCCTCCCACTTAGCTCTGGGTCATGCACACCTAGCAGGCAACTCAGGAAATAACTGAATGCTCGGGAGGACTTCCTCTTGGAGGAGAGATTCAAGGAAGTAGGAATGCTGTCTCTTAGAGAGGAAGAGGGCTTACTTTGTAGATGGAAACCACAGAAATGTGAAACCACTGCTTCCACATTCCTTCTCTCTAGAAACCACAGCTCTCCTCAGCTGCCTGTACATGAACCCCTCGAGGCACCAACAACTAACCCTTGGAAGACACAGTAAACGCCAAACTGAGCAGAAAACAACCTGAAGGCTGATGTGGTTCAAGAACAGGAAGTGCTTTCTAACAATCCCTCCAATAGGCCCTGGTGTCTGGGAGGAAGCGTCTGCCAACAACACAATGTCCTGCAGAGGAATGCAGGGTAAACTGGCCCCTCAGATGTCTTCCAGTGCTAAGGCCCAGCCTCCTAAAGCAGCCTGGGGAAGCACAGGGGAGGAGAAGGATGGACAGAGCAGCCACTCTGTTCCAGACACACACTTCCAGCATCTACCCTGTGGACCTTTACAATCCTAGTGGTTGTTATTATTATTTCTGACACAAGAGAAATACATGGCTCAGAAAGATTCAATGATCGGCTAAAGCCAAGAGTAGCAGTGCACGCCTTTAATCCTAGCACTTGGGAGGCAGAGGCAGGAAGAGCTCTGTAAGTTCAAGGCCAGCCTGGTCTCCATCATCATCATCATCATCATCATCATCATCATCATCTACCAAAGCCAGTTCCGGTGGCACATGCCTAGAATGCTAACTACTAGAAAAGATTAAACAGTATTTGTAATTTCAAGCTTATCTGGGCAGTAGAGTACGTTCAAGGCCAGTTTAGACAACAGAGTGAGACCGTCAAAAAGGAGGGCTGAGCTGGTGAGAAGGTCCAGCAGGTTAAAAAAAAAAAAAAAGCACTTACTGCTAAACCACATGACCCAAGTTAGATCTCCAGCTCCACAAGGCAGAAAAAGAGAACCAACTGTCCTCTGTACCGTGTACATACACTATGCTGTGTATGCATACACACAAATAAACATGTATGGCATAGTGGTAAAACACTAGCCTTAGCATGCATCAGGCCCTGGGTTCAATCCCCTAGTCCTGCCAAAATAAATAAATAATAAAAACTTGCCAAAGCCAGAGAGCTACTAAGAGATGGGGCAGGAAACACAAACCAAGACTCTCTCTACCCACCTGGGCAGAGAGAGCATCCCTGCCTTCCTGGCCATGCAGAAGGGAGTGCCAGCCCTTTGCAGCTAATGGTTCTGCAAGGATAGCAATATTAACCGACTTCATCTCATGCTAAAATCAAAAGCCCTTTCATAGCATAAGCCCAATGACCCAGCTCTAGGGACAAACAGATAGTGGCAGCCATCCGTGCTTTGGGAGCTGAGAGGCTGCTGCCCTGCTCTAAACTCCAAGCAAGGAACACACAGTAGGACCAGAGGGACCTGGGAAGGCTGTTGAAGGAAGCTAAGCTTTATGATGAGCTGGACAAGTGAGGGGCAGCGGACTGGAAACACTATTCCAAACAGACCAAAGAGCAGAGGCAGAGGCCGACCTGTGTTCCAAGCCTTCTCTGCCGTAGTTTCCAACAGAGACAACTTTCCATTCTCTGGTCCAACAACTTATATTGCTTTACAAGCTACTAATCTTATGAAGCCTCCCACACATCTTTTTTAATGATATGAATGTAGGGGGTAAACAATGTTAATTCTAAATGCCAACTACTAAACTCATTTCCATCAGGATCTATGCCAAGTTCTTTACACAAATAATCCCAGTTGTGCAACCAGCAATTTTTCCTCATTTTTGCAGATAGGGAAAACTGAAATTCAGAGTTGAAACTCTACCGAAGGTCATCCAGTTACTAAAAGCAGCTGATAGGATTTCGACAGAGTTCAAGCCGGCCTAACAATCGGTTCTGTTAACCACTGCCAAGGATTGTGGGGAAGCGGAGAACCAGGCACGCTGGCCCCTGGGCATTTCTGGGGACCAGAGACTCCCCAGGGACTCCATTCGTTCTGGAAAATGAAGGGTGGGCCTAGCCACACTTGGCGATGAGGGGAGAGAAATAGGAAGCCCGATCCAAAACAAAAGAATTAGGGTGAACCTCGAGGGTCCTCCTGCCACAAAGAGAAGCAAGAACACGGGCCTTGAGAACCTGGCGTGGAACAGAAAGACCCTCAGTCGACTGGGGGGGGGGGGGGGGGCGCGGGGGGCGGGGCTCTGCGCGCCCCGCAAGCTCCGTCCTGCCCGGCAGACCCCGGAGGGGGCGGGCCGCGAGAGGGCGGGGCCGCGGGGCAGGCGGGGCGTCGCTGCAGGGCTAACCTCCCGAGTCCCCTTCCATACTCTGGCTCCAGCAGGGCTGATCCGGGATCTCGATGCTGTAATCCAGCTCGGCCGAGGCCATGGTGAAGGTGCGGGCCGTCAGCACGGGCCTCCCGCCGGAACTCCCGCAGTTTCACCTCGCCTGGGCCGGACGCCGCCAGGCCACGCCCACACCCCGCCCACGCCTGGCGCTGCCCAATCCTCGAGCCGCGTTCTGTGACCTCCCTCCTAGCAACCACCAAGTCGCTCCGCGCCTCCCGCCGCACCCACTAGCCGGGCCCTAGCAACCACGCTCTGGCCCCTCCTGTCTTTGGCCCACAGCAATTGGCTGACTCTCTTGATATAGATCAAGTATTGGTCAGCGGGCCGCACTCTTGGAGCGTCCCCATCCCCCTGTGAAGGTAAGAGTAGGTGGGAGAGTGGAAGTATTATGGACATCTCAGAACTTTGACTTCTCGAACCTGGTAGAAAACTTGGACTTGCACATCTAACTGCGTGTACCTCCATCACCAGCCACAGTTCACAGGCTGGAGGCAAAAAAAAAAAAAAAAAAAACGAACAAAACAGCGTCAGGCGGCAGGTGCGGACCGGTCCTCCCACTCGTGGGAGACTGGCTGCCTGGCTGGGAAGGGGTCTTCAGATAATGACTTAAGAAATGCCCTTTCATGGGTGTGGCCAAATAGCTTAGACTAGTACAGTTTTCTTGCATTTAGTAAATATTTACTGAACAGCTAGCTGTATGTGCCAGAGACTGGACAACATACAAATCTTTGGGCGCTAGTGAGCTCCGCCATTGGTCCAGCGGTTCTCGGCCTGTGGGTCATGACTCCTCATAGCAGATATTTGCATTATGATAACAGTAGCAAATGTGCCGTTATGAAGTAGCAACGAAATAATTTTATGGCTGGGGGTCACCACAACATGATGAACTAATTGTATTAAAGAGTCTCAGCATTAGGAAGGTTGAGAACCACTGCCTTGGTCCTTATGGTCTTAATGGGAGAGAGGGAAGAACCGTGTATGAACCACCTCTAATCCGATGGGGAGGATAAATACTTCAGAAGAGTAAGGATTGGGGGAGCCCAAGAGAAGTAGCAATTGTGACAACAGGCTAATTGTGGAGCTGGGTCTTGAAAGACTTGTGAAGAAAGGGAAGGTAAGAACCCACGACTGAAAAGTTTAAAAGGGGAACAGAGAGAGGTGAGTACAAGAAATGACGTGAATTGTCTTCTGGCCGGAGGGGAGACTAGTGCAAAAGAAACATAGGAAGGACAGGCACAGACCCAGGGCAGCATTTGATGTCAAGCTCATCTTGGAACTTGCAGATAGACGATGCCAGTGGTAATATGTTTTCCCATGTGTCTTGCACCTTTGAGTACAAGGGCTTAGATTTACCATGAAGACAGCAGGAAGTTGTTTTAGTACAATGCAGAGCCCGGATTGGGGTTTGGAAGAAGGAGGGAGGCCAGTTAAGAAGCTGTTTGAGGCCGGGCGGTGGTGGCGCACGCCTTTAATCCCAGCACTCGGGAGGCAGAGCCAGGCGGATCTCTGTGAGTTCGAGGCCAGCCTGGGCTACCAAGTGAGTTCCAGGAAAGGCGCAAACCTACACAGAGAAACCCTGTCTCGAAAAACCAAAAAAAAAAAAGAAAAAAAGAAAAAGAAGCTGTTTGAGTGATGGGGAAAGCTTTGGGTATGAACCTAGGAGATGAAAGCCAAGGGGAAAGTGTTGAGAACTGGTGGTTAAGTAAGGTAAATAAAATCTCAAAGATGACACTGGACTCACAAACAAGGAAGTGACTAGTGACCTTTGCCAGGGCTGTTTCAGTAAGCAAAGATTCAGTGGCTTGAGAGGTGGATTGGAGGTGACAGGCACGGTGGTAACCTGTAATCTCAGCATTTGAGAGGTAGGCTGAGGAAGCTGATTGTTCCAAGGTCATCCTCGGCTACTTAATGGGTTCTAGGCTAGCCTGAGCTACCTACCCGAGACTTATCTTAAAAGAAAAAAAAGAGATGGAATACTTTCAAGGCATTTGCCATTTATTGGCAACCTCTAGGTCTATAGGCTTTTGTTCAGGTGGGAGAGAGCGAGCAAAGAGGTAAAAGGTAAAACTGTAGGGGGGAGAGAGCAGGTAAAAGAGTGTGGCCCCCAAAGTGGAAAAATTTAAACGGTTGAGGAGTGACCAGGGAGATGGCTCGCCAGTAAAGTGTTTCCCGGCTGAGCATGAGGAACCAACTTGGATGCCCAGGACTCACGTAAAAACTGCACAGTGACAACAAATTAATATTTTAAAAAAGAATAAAAAGGATCTCTGTGAGTTCGAAGCCAGCTTGGTCTACAGAGCAAGTTCCAGGACAGCCACAGCTACACAGAGAAACCCTGTCTCGAAACAAACAAACAAAAAACCAAAAGAATAAAAAGGTGGAGAGAGAGAAAGACACTGAGTGTGGTGGGATCCAGATATAGAACTCTCAGCTACTTCTCCAGCACCACGTCTGCCTGCATATCACCATGTTCCCTGCCATGCTGACAATGAACTAAACCTCTGAACTGTAAGCCAGCGCCAATTAAATGCTTTCCTTTACAAAAGTTGCCATGATCATGGTCTCTGTACAGCAATAGAACACTGACTAAGACAGAAGTTGGTACCAGGGAACAGTACTGGTATTACTGTGACAGGCCTGACCATGCCCTTATGGGTAGAGTGTGGACTTTGGGACTTTGGATTAGGTAACCTGTTGAGGGAAAGCAGGGAACTGGGGCTTAGTGGGCCACACTAGTAGGTGTGGAAAAGAATGGTGCTGAGAGCAATGTAGATCATGATGGCCCATATAAAGAGGTTTTAGAAGAGAAGATTATTAGTATGTGGTCTAGAGACCATTCTTGTGATATTTTGGCAAAGAATGTAACTGCTTTCTGCCCTTGTCCAAAAAATCTGCCTGAGGCTAATGCAGCAGGCTTTCTTTTAGGCCACAAACCAGCTCCCAAATAAAAACACAGAGACTTAATACTAGTTATGAGTGCTTTGCCTTAGCTTATGCTTCTCCCACTAGCTCTTGTAACTTAATCTAACTTGTTTTTCTTCATCTATGTTTTACCTTAGGACTTTGACCTTTCTTTCATTCTGTATGTCCTACTTCATGTCTGGCTGGCCTTGGGTGTAGTTGGTTGTTTTACTCTTTACTCTTTGGGGGTCCCTCATCCAGCTCCCAGATAAACCACACAGAGTCTTTTTTTTTTTTTTTTTTTTTGGTTTTTCGAGACAGGGTTTCTCTGTGTAGCTTTGCGCCTTTCCTGGGACTCACTTGGTAGCCCAGGCTGGCCTCGAACTCACAGAGATCCACCTGACTCTGCTTCCCGAGTGCTGGGATTAAAGGCGTGCGCCACCACTGCCCGGCCCACACAGAGTCTTATTCTTACTTATAAATGCCCAACCTTAGCTTGGCTTGTTTCTTGCCAGCTTTTCTTTTTTTAAAGATTTATTTATTATGTATACAGCATGTATAACTGCCGACCAGAAGAGGGCACCAGATCTCATTACAGATGGTTGTGGGCCACCATGTGGTTATGGGAATTGAACTCAGGACCTCTGGAAGAGCAGTCAGTGCTCTTAACCTCTAAGCCATCTCTCCAGCCCCACTTTTCTTAACTTAAATTATCACATCTATCTTTTGCCTCTGGGCTTTTACCTTTCTCTATTCCTGTATACTTTTCTTTACTTCTTATCCATGGCTGGCTGTGGAGCTGGGTGGCTGGCCCCCTGCATCCTTCTATCCTCATTTCCTTGTTCCTTGATCTTTTTTTCTCTCTTTTTCTCCTTCTGTTCACTCTCTTTACCAGCTAGCCCTGCTCATCCATCTACTGCCTAGCTATTAGCCATTCAGCTTCTTATTAGACCAATCAGTGCCTTAGGCAGGCAGAGCCACACATCTTTACACAGTTAAACAAATGCAGCATAAACAAATGTGACATACCTTTACATAGTTAAAACAATATTCCACAACATAAACAAATGTAATTCTCTTTGCCTAGTTAAACAAATATTCTGCAACAGGCTAAACTGAAGAGTTTTGGATTAATGGCACTGGCAGAGGAGATTTCAAGGCAGCCTAGTATTGACTCTGTCATGTGGTTATTATATCACTCTTGTGTAGATCTATAATTAAAGGAGCAAGCCAAGCAAGGAAAATACAAAATGTACAATTTGAGGAGGAAATGAGCACCCAGGAAATGTAATGGAGCTAAGTCCAATACTCAATGAGATAAAAAGATTAAGGAAAAACCTGATGCTCCATGGAATAAAGGGAGTGGTGACCTCGGGGCAAGACCCCCACACAGCTAAGCCTCCAACTTATGAAAAGGAATTTTAAAAATTAGCCGGGCGGTGGTGGCGCACGCCTTTAATCCCAGCACTCGGGAGGCAGAGGCAGGCGGATCTCTGTGAGTTCGAGGCCAGCCTGGACTACCAAGTGAGTTCCAGGAAAGGCGCAAAGCTACACAGAGAAACCCTGTCTCGAAAAACCAAAAAAAAAAAAAAAAAAAAAAAATTAAAGGAATTTAAACAGTGAAGAAAACCATCAAAAGCAGAAAGCTGATGAAAATGTATTTGAACAAGGTGGCCAAGTTCCAGCCCCAGCAAGCAGTAGAACTTGTCAGCTTCAGCCACATGGTTATGGCTTTAGAGTCCAGGATACAAGATGGGGTTGTGGAATCTCCCTCCTCGACTAAGGAAAGCCGCCAAGGTCAGGCATGTGTCAGTGTAGTCCCTGCTTGGAGCCCAGAAAGGCTGTTGTGTGAAGATGTGAAAGTGAAGCCTGGATTTTGTTGGAGACACCAAGATGTTGGAGAAGTCATAGTCGTGGGATACCTGCTGAGGAAAGCTGCTAACAGAGTGTGAAAGCAACCCAAGAGAGAGAGGTGTGTGGCGGTCAACAAAGCTGCAAGGAGTTGGAGATCTGAAGAGCATTTTGACATCTTGGAAATGCAGAATTTGGAGTTTTTCCAGCTGGTTTTTGGTCTTGCTTTGGTCCAGTGTTTTCTTACTATGTTTCCTTTCCTCCCGTTTGGAATGGTAATGTATATTCTGTGCCATTGTATGTTGGGAGTATGTGATCTGCTTTTTTATTTTGATT